GAAAAAAATGGAAAATCAGAGACTGGGAGGGCCCCAAAGCCTCCCCCAGCCCGGATTGCTGCGGGAATTGGGGTCTCACAACACCCTGGGCTGGGGGCTCTACCTGGTTTTGGGGACTTGTTCCTGATTTTTAGGGATTTATTCTCGATTTTAAGATTAATCCCGGTTTTTGGAGCTTTTCCCACCCCGTTTTTTCAGAGCCCCACACCCAAACCCCGAATTTTTCCCTTCCCCCCATCCCTGTTTTGGGGTCCCCCCATCCCAATTTCGATTTTTTGTTGTTTTTTTTTTTTCCCCTCACCATCATCTTCCTCTTTTTGTTGTATCGGATCTTGGCCTTTTCCTTCCTCTTCTCCTCCAGGGCCTGGGTCACGTCCCGGTACTTCCAGCCCACCTCGTGTGCCAGCCGGCCCAGTACGGCAAACTGGGAGGCACTGGGAGCTCAGGGCAGGGCTCCCAGGACCGCCCCACAAAGCCCCTCCCCTCCCAAAAAAAAAAAATAATTCTTCCCACCCCAAAAACCGATCAAAAACCCCGCAGAACCGCTGAAATCCCTATCAAAAATCCCATTGATCCCTAAAATCCCGATCAAAAATCCCATTGATCCCTAAAATCCCGATCAAAAATCCCATTGATCCCTAAAATCCAGATCAAAAATCCCATTGATTCCTTAAAATCCGATAAAATCCCGACCAAAAACCCCCAGAAATCCCTAAAATCCGGTAAAATCCCACCCAAAATCCCCCAGACCTCCTAAAATCCCAAACAAAAACCCCATTGATCCCTAAAATCCCAAACAAAAATCCCATTGATTCCTTAAAATCCGATAAAATCCCAACCAAAAATCGGATAAAATCCCAATCAAAATTCCCATTGATCCCTAAAATCCGATAAAATCCCGATCAAAAATCCCATTGATCCCTAAAATCCGATAAAATCCCGATCAAAAATCCCATTGATCCCTAAAATCCCGATCAAAAATTCCATTGATCCCTAAAACCCGATAAAATCCCGATCAAAAATCCCATCAATTCCTAAAATCCCCCAGAAATCCCAACCAAAAATCCCATTGATCCCTAAAATCCCAACCAA